ATTGAGCCATCTGGCTGGCCCAGAATTTTGTATTTTTGTTAACATTTTCCTTTGCATACTTTCTCTAAGTCTTTCGTTGAGGTATGTTTTGTTTACGAAAAGAGTCAGTGATTTTTATATTTTTATTTGAAACTCTTTTTAATATAAAGCTAACAGAAAATTAAAGTATCATAAAGGAAATATACATTTTAGAGGAAATACCAGGACATTCAAATTTTTGGCATATTGTTAATAAATACTATTCTTTCTAAGCAGGATACATTGAGAGTCTTCTAGACAACCCCTGTGACTTGAGATTTGCTGGAAAGTCTTAAGACAAATGTAGTTTATTCATAGTTAAAACAGTGTATTAGTAGCTTCCAGGTATAGTGGCTCATACCTGTAACCTTAGTGCTTAAGAGGTTGAGGCAAGAAGATTGTGAATTTGAGGACAGCTTGAGCTACATTCCTTATTCCAGGTTGTCTTGGCTACATCAAGAAGACCCTGTTTCAAAAACTAAACCAGGGATGGGGAGATGGTTTAGTTATAAAGTACTTGACCTGGCTCAATCCCCAGAACCCATGTTTTAATAAATAAATAAATAAATAGCCAGATGTGGTGGCCTGTCTTTGTATTCCCAACACTGGAGAGGCAGAGATAGGCAGATCCCTATAGTTACAGCCAGCCTAACCTACTTGATGAGTTCCATGCTAGAGACTGTGTCTCAAAAAACCAGATGAGTAACACCTGAAGAACAGCATATAAGCCTGTCCTCTGGTGTCCACACACTTATTCACACATGTGCCCCCCCCCACAAACATGCATACAAAATAAAAACAAAACAAATCTAAAAATCCAACATGACCTTAATATATAACCATGTAGTATGTGAGGCTCTTCAGTCAGGTCATAAGACTATGTATGTATCTGGAGAAATTCATTATTAGATTTTACTAGGCTTGTTTCCTCCCATGGAGGGGCAGGGGGTGGGGTTAAACATAGTAGTCTTTCAATCTGCAAGGAAAATACAGCCACATGTATTTCTGCTCAGGGAAGCCCAGGATGACGCAGTGCCCAATGTTTTGTTTTTAACTGGTCACATAGGCACCTTTTGTCTAGCATATACTAAATCGCCAGTCTAAAGAAGAAAGCAGATGTTTGACATAAAATGCATTGTCTTTAGGCATATTAAATATAACTACCTTAACAGTTAAGAAATAGAAACACTTCTGAAATCCCAGTTCTCAGAAACCAGCCAAGATCCAGTCTTGCTCTTAGGCTGTTACAGAAATTACAGCTTTGGTATGATGTATTAGTGTTTCCATATGAGGAAATGTTAAATTCCAGATCCACAAGCAAGATTTTTCACACACAGATTATGATACCACCACCCCCAACACACACATGTACACACAAACAATAAATAAATGTAAATTTTTAAAATAAAATTCTAAAAGCATAATGGAAGGCAAAATGAAGAACAAAATTTCTAGATTTCTTACAGGTTCCATTAAAGAGGGAAAAAAAATGAAATAAAGTCATTAAAATCATCCCCCACCTCTGCCTTTATTTTTCTCAAGACAGATCCTGAAAGTTAAATGTTAGGAAAATTTTTCAATTGCAATTTGATACATTATGTGGTAAAAATTTCAGTTTTTTCACATATGTTATTGATAGCTATAGTATTTTCAAATCAACCTAGATTCATTATTTAGGACAAATTTTAAGCAAACTCTTTAGGGCTTATTACTTTTTATTTAATTAATTTTTCACTAGGAAGAACTGTTTCTTCCATATATTTTTATTCTTAGGTTCTTGGCTTGTGGTAGTATAGGCTTTCTAGCTTTTGGTTACCTGAGATTGTATACTAACTAGTGTAAGCAATGAAGCATGAATATTGATGAATAAAATCTTGAATGTCGGGACTGTAGAGATGGCTCAGCAGTTAAGAACACTGACTGCTCTTGCAGAGGACCCGGGTTCGATTCCCAGAACCCACGTGTGGCTACGAACCGTCCTTAACTCCAGTTCCAGGGGAATCCAGAGCCCTCTTCTGACCTCCACGGCATTGCACGACATGAGTGCACTCACATACATGCAGGCAATGCACTCATACACATAAAAAAAAATAAAATATTTTTAAAACAGAAGCAAGGAATAATATATATCATACACATAAAAATAATAAAATATTTTTTTTAAATCTTGAATGTCAACATATAACTCTGTAATGAAAAAGGTATTACTAAATTGAACCACAACTGTAGGAAATTCACAGATTAAGCATCTTTTTCTTCCTTTGGCCAAGACTTACATGTTTAAGGGGATTTTTCAGATTTTAATGTATTAAGTGTTTTTTCTAATTAGAAAATTAAAATCTGTGTCAATAAAAGACTAAAGACATCTGTTACAAATTTTTTGTGTTTCTTTATGGCATATATGTACCAGTAATTAAATGGTATATGATTTAGAAAAATAAAAAATACTGTTCCAGTATGTAAACAACCACTTGAAATTATGGATGCATAAATTCTAACAAAGATGTGAAATACCTAGTTATCATATAAAAAGGAAATATACAGAGTTTATAATAAGACTAACAGTAGGGTGACTCTGAATTCAAAGCACATTAAAAATGACATTCACCATAATCAGTGGAATTTATCCTTGGGTTGTAAGAAATATTTAACACATACAACATCAAGTGTTACCCACAACAGAATGAAACTTAAATTTTATTGAGTTCTAATCAGTTTAAATTTAAACAGCAACATGCAGCTAGTAACCACTGGGCAGCCTAACTAAATGAATGAATCATTTATGTCTGACTCCAACTGTCCAAAGCATGTGCAACATGTTCTCTCTTTTTCTCCCTCTTCCTTCCTCTCTCTCCCTCCTTCCTTCCTCTCCCTTTCAGCTGTGAATGGTACTATGCCAAATTTGTTGATGTGTCTGGAGAAATAAATGGAGCTATGCAAAATTTACAGATGATTCTGAAAGAAAAAAATTACAGTCTTTGCTTTATCTTCTTGCCCAGCAGCAAATCTTGTCTTCCTCAAGTATTCTTTCATGTCTCTCAATAAATACAGATTTCAAAAGCCTCAAGAAGAAAACTTCTAGTTTTCCATACTAGACCTGAATTAAGGATCAGTTGCTTATGTATAATGAAGAAAGCAAAGTAGTTTGCATATTTTCATTATCTCTGTTGTGGTTATCTCTCATTGTATAACAAACTACACCAAAAGCTGATGGCTTAAAAGAACAGTTGATTATTTCTCATAACTGTGTGGGTTAACTCTATGCCTCTTCTGCTTACATAGTTTGGGATGGGATACTGGTAAAAGCTAGAAAATCCAAAATGGCCTCATAAGCTTGGATAGCAGTTGGGGCTGGCTACTTGGTTAAGATTGAAGCTGGGGCTCAGAACCGAGGATCTTGGTTTTCCTTCATCTGGATCTGCCCTTAGGCCTTTTGAGTTTCCTTACATTATATCTGCTAGATTCTAAGAAAGGTACTGTAAAGCAAAGGCAAGTACTACAAGGCATCATAGGACTAGGCTCAGAACCACTCATCATCATTGATGCCACATTGCCTTTACTAAAGGCATTACCTGGATCCAAGAGGAAAGGAAATAGGCTCTACTCTTTGATGGTAGAATGATTTAGTGATACTGAAAACATGAGGGGTGAAAGATGGGAACCATCTTCAGAAATATACTCTCATCACAATCTCTTTTGACTTAGATTGAATATATTGCCTAGCCCCTTATCATTACAAATTGTAATGCAAGGATTCAAACGCAGGTTGATCTGATTCCAAGAACTTTAAAGCCTTCACCAGTGACCCTCACTATGGGAAGGCTTCTTTTAAGAGACCATAGGAAATAAACTGAAAAATAAATTGAATAAAAGAAACTGTTTGATGCCTAAGATACAACCAAGGTCTTTTGAATGTTGAGTCTAACTTGGGCATGAAGCATTTAAGTAAACTTTAAAAAAAATTTTTTTTTTAATTTTATGTATTGGGTATATTGGCTGCATGTATATAAATGCACCCGTGTCATGCAGTGCCCGCTGAGGACAGAAGAGGGTTCCAGTCCCCTGGAACTGGAGTTACAGATGGTTGTTAGCTGCCATGTGAGTGCTGGGAATCAAACCTAGGTCCTCTGCAAGAGTAACCAGTGCTCTTAACCTCTGACCCATCTCTCCAGCCACATGATAGAAAACTTGTAACAGAGGAAATAGAAAATTTGAAATGTGGAGGTGGGAAACTGCAGGGTGTGTAAGTAAAAGAGAAAGTCATTCACATTGTCTGGTATGTAAGGGACACGAAGAGATGAAACATATGTTAAGAATGAAGGTAAGTGGTTAGATGGGGGTGAGTTCATGCAGAGCCTTGATCACCAAGCCATACACTTTAAATGTTTTTAGAAAAGGAAATTTTCTGAACATTTTGAAGGAAGTTTGTTATGGTCTCAGCCTGGGCTTTAAAAAGATCTATCTGATTAAGACACAGAACTATTTGAACAGTGAATACTACTAATCTAAATGATTGGGCAGATTATATTCCTTTGCATTATCCCATAGGAAGTTTAGCCAAAGCCTGAATCAGAGTATTTACAATACTTACAATGAGATTGAACAAGTGATAATGTTTTACAAAAGTTACAGTATTTAAGTTAGGAAGCCCTGACAACTGATTGGTGTGTGGCTCAAGACAAGTGTCAGAGTTCAGTAACATTAAAAACCAAGTGCACCTTGCCGCTGTGTTTGGAAGTCATGATACTGTGAATGCTAACGATACTACAAGGTGGTCAGTCACATTTACATGCTTCCTTTCTTTATAAATCTTTCCTAAAACTACTAAAATGGAGCTGTATTGTTTGATCAGTGTCACATTTAACAGGTTTTCATTAACAAATCATGCAGAATTATCTTGCCATTTCAGATTTTTCACCCTGAATTTCTAAGCTACTTCTCTTTCCCCCATTGGGTTAATGGCTTTGACGAGACTGTGAGTATGAAGAAATTACACTTGAAAGGGTAAAAACTCTTATCTTAATCTGTTGCTTTAAAGAAATTTTTAATATATTGCTCATAGAATGCAAGGGAGAAAGTCTTTCAAACCTGAAGAATGGAATGTTTTCTTTTGTAAGTTCACAGATCATAAAATTAGCCATAGTGTTTTCAGAGTTCTTATTTTCTTTAATAGCATTTAAATTTATTTAGATTTACACAAAATGTATAAAAGTAATACAGAGAATTCCCATTTACTCTGGACTCAGCTTTCTATTGTTAACATCTGACTTTGTTACAATATGTTTGTTTCAACTAATGAACCAATATATGTGCATTATTAATTGAAGCCTCTTATTTCCTTGGTTTTTATGTTTTCTCTTGTAGGATACCATCCAGGAAACTACAATACTTTTAGTTATCCCTTTAGGGTGCTCTAGACAATGGTAGTTTGTAAAAATTTAACAATGATAGTTTGTAAAATTAGAAATTTTCTTTTAAATTGTCACCCTTGATACTCACTTTTGCTGGGTATGGTGCATAGGCCTTTGATCTTGGCCCTTGGGAGACAGAAGCAGGCAGGTCTCTGAGTTTGAGGCCAGCCTGGTCTATATAGTGAGTTCCAGGCCAGCCAGAGCTGCATAGTGAGATCCTGTCAATAATAATAATAAAATAAAAAATTAAAGATACTCATTTTAAGAAAGCAGCATGCTAGCTGAGCATGGTGGCACACACTTGTGTTCCCAGTACTTCGGAGGTGGGAGCAGGAGGAGGATCAGTTCAAAGCCAATCTTACTGCAGAGCAAATTCAAGGAAGCCTGAGCTACATGAAATCCTGTCTCAAATATACATATACACACACATATAGGATAAGTGTATATGTGTGTTCATACAATTAAGTATTCCACACAAGTAAATCTCCAAAGTTAGCAGGATGTCTGCATTTTAAAAACTAAAATGTCAGATAATTTGATCATATTTGAAGCCAGAACGAACATTGCTCAGAAAATTAAGTAGACCTGAGAGGGTCTTTTACATGTGTAATAGATCTTTATTTCCTACTACTTAAATTTAGGTCACCTGCTCAAGTTAGGTGGATACCTCGATAACATTCAAGTAAGCGGAGTATTAATCTATTGAACATATTTTAGTGTGGCATTTTGTGACATCTTTTGCTGTTTGATTTATTCATTTTTCATCCTTTCTCAATGCCTTTTAAATTCCTTATGTTTAGTTTAAGGACTTTGCATTATGCTTTTCACTATTTGAATAACTTGGATATTTAAATTTCTTGGCAGCCTCCCACAATCTGTTGTTAGTATTGAGATTCTACTAATTCTTTAAAGAATTTAGGTTGAAAAAAAAGTTAGAATTTTAGGATAAATGGCAGGAGCCTGACTGCTTAAGCTATTTAATATGAATTGTTAAGTAATAGGACACATATACCCATTTACTTGAATTGCCTGAAAGCTACCTTCAGAAGATTCTTGAGAAAATAAACATTTTAAGTGCCTTTTCTTAGAGCAAAGAAATGTCATCTCTCTTTAAAGACATTTTATGGCTCTAGGACCCTTTCTGTAAGTAAATATTCAGAATTTCATTTTTTCCAGTTTGTAAAACAAGCAAAACAGTAAGGCAGCATTAGCAGAGTTCATTTTGCCATCAAGAAAACTCACCAATGTTAAGAGCTCAGATTTGCTTTTCAGTACTTAAAAAAAAAAAATGCCCTTTGGTAGTTGGGCATATTGGTTAAACACCTCAAGGATTAATAGCAGCTGTTACTTAGCAGCTCCAGTTTGGACACTTTAAAATAAGTGACTATCTAAATGAGCAGAAGAGAAACTCCACATCCACCCCCTTTTTAAAAGACTGAACCTACTCTCAGAAATATAGACACTAGCTGGACATTCTAGCACGCCTGCAATCCCAGTGCTTAGGAGCCTTAGGCCAGGAGGATTGCCTCAATTTAGAAGTTAGTATCTACTATATAGCAAGACTTTTCTAAAAATAATAAAATAAATGAATAAAGACAGCAGAAAGATCCCATCAGTCATTGTCTCTTGGCAGAGATTTGCTTTACCAAATATAGATGAGGTAGAGTTTAAAAGAAAGACATTTGTAGTGACGCCTCTGCAGGTGGAGAGTAATCTACAGAAAAAAATGCATGTATTTTGAAAGAAAGAACTGCAAACTAAATTTCAGAGGTACTAATTCAGTACATTTTCTTCAATTTCACCTACTGAGCAATAATACCACTGAAGAGATTTTTCCTTCTTTGAAGAACACATCTGTTTAATTTTGAATCTTCTTACTCACTCATGCATATATCTTTCTGTGTTGTATTCCCTATTTTAGTACAGTTTCTAGATCCTACAGTGATAAGAACTTGCCAACAACAAAATAATTCTTACTGTCTGGAATTTTTTACCTCTATCCCTAGGGAAATTCAGGGCTTGGTTTCAGCATTGCAGGAGGTACAGACAACCCACACATTGGAGATGACTCAAGTATTTTCATCACCAAAATTATCACGGGAGGAGCAGCTGCCCAAGGTGGAAGGTTGCGGTGTGTCGTAAACTAGAGGTTGTGATGAGCACCCCAGTGTAACAGGGTAGAGGTGCTGCTCCAGAGGGACCCCAGGATATTCGACTGCAAGTGGTAGCACAAATAAGAGACACTGTCATGGTAGCTCACATAGGTGATGGCGAACATGATTTCAATTAATAGGATCATTTTGTTCTTGTTGACCTCTTTTCATTTAGAAATCTGGGTTTATCTTAGATGTTCTAATATTTTGAATAATAAATTTTGATAGCTTAAATGTTTATAGCCAAATTTATAGAAATCATGAGTTCACCTTCGTGTTTTTAGATAAATTAACAAGAATATTTTCAATTTCTTTTCTGGTTAGGAAATATGTATAAGATACTGTACATATAAGGTTTGCCTTATATGTAAACCTACATAAGATCCATAGGAAACCAGATATGATAGTGCATGTCTGTATTACCAGCACTTGGAAGGTGGCTTGTTTCCATGTTTGCTTGGTTTTTTGCATTGCAGAGATTAGATGTAGCGGCAGTGCACACGCATCTATGTGCCCATGCATCTGTATACCCATGCAGGTAAAGACCAGGGGTTGATATCAGGTGTCTTTCTTGGTTCTCCATCTTACACATTTTGGCAGGGTCTCATGCTGAGCCCAGAGCTCATCAATTCTAGTCTAGGTAACTTAGCTAGCCAGTTTGTTCTAGGGATAACGTGTCTCTTAACTCCTGAGGCCTAGGATGACAAGCAGGCTGCCACACCCACTGACCTAGTTTCATTGTGTTGCTTTGCTGTGGCAGATGCCATGACCAAAAGGATCATAGGAGAGAAAAGGATTTACTTGGCTTATACTTCCAAGTTACAGTCCATCCATCATTGAGAAAAGTCAGGGCAAACAAGAATCTCAGGAACTTGAGGCAAGGTTCATAGAGGAACACTAACAATCAAAACAGTCCTCTATAGACATGCTGACTAGCCAGTCAAATCTTCACAATTCCTCAGTTGAGGAGTCTTTTGACTGTAGGCTGTGTCAAGTGACAATTAAAGCTAACTAGGGGGTTAGAGAGATGACTCAGCAATTAAGAGCACAGCCTGTTGTTGAAGAGCACCCAGGTTCAATTCCCAGAACCTATGTAGAGGATAACAACCATCTGTAACTCTAGTTCCAGAAGATCCATTGCCCTTTTCTGGCCTACCTGAGTACCAGGCACACGTGTGGTGCACTTACACAAATGTAGGCAAAATACTCGTACACTTGTACACATTAAATAAAAATAAATAAATAAATAAATAATTTAAAGCTAATTAGGACAGTCACTTGGGTGCTGGGGATCCGAACTCTAGCACTCACACTTGCATGGCAATCACTTTACTACTGAGCTATTTCCCTGCCCCAATTGAGTGTTGTTTTTTTAAAAAATATTTTATTATTTTTATTTTATGTGTATGAGTGTAGTGCCTGCATGTGTGTAAGTGTACCCATGTCATGCAGTGCCCTCGGAGGTCAGAAGAGGGCATCAAATCCCCTGGAACTGGAGTTAGGACAGCTGCCAGCGGCCATGTGGGTACTGGGAATTGAACCTGGGTCCTCTGAAAGAGCAGTCAGTGCTCTAAACCGCTGAGCCATCTCTCCAACCCCCCAGTTGAGAGTTTTTAAAGTCAGCCTGACTATAGAGTGAGTTGCTTCAAAAAGCCAAGGGCTGAGAATGTAGCTCAGTGGTAGGGCGCTTGCCTAGCATGAGCAAGACTCCAAGTTCAATCCACAGTACCAGCATAAAAAAATAAACATGTATATGTTCCTCTATTACACATGTATGTTCCTCAGTAGCATTTGAATAAAGGATATACAAACTGTAAAAATAACATTGATCTCTTATTTAGATAATATTCTGTTTTGGAAAAATTTATTTTTAGAACTTGGTTATTTCCTTGGCCTATAAATTACATCATTTTCCCTGTTTCTTTGATTGTTTTATGTATATATGTTACAGACTGAAACTTTAGAACTAAGGGTTTCTATAATCTATGATCTATTAAAATGGCATTTTAAGGCTGTTGTTACCTTATGCAGCTCTTCAGATTTTAAGCTGAACTTCTCACTGATTATGACAGGTAGCATATTAATGAAATTGGACATAAAAATTAGGAATTTGACCATTTTTTGCAATTGTAAACATTTATTTCCCGATCATATTAGTGCCCTTTTTATGTGCTGCGTATGTGAAAAGTATTGTTCCCTTTTTTAAACTGAAGAACATACCTAGAGTAGTATGCTTTGGGTGCAGAATTTCTGTCCTAGAAAAAGTAATTAGTTATAGAAGATTGTCAGGACCAATTTTAGTATTTTAATTGTGTTTTATTTCCTTTCCTGCTTACTTGCTTTTTTTTTTTTTTTTTTTTTTTTTTGTACTGGAAAAACATGCAGTCAAAACCGAGACCAAAACTAAGTTGAAATGTTGAAAATAGGAACAAATTTTTAAAAATTATTTACAGCCGGGCGTGGTGGCACACTCCCTTAATCCCAGCACTTGGGAGGCAGAAGCAGGCCAATCTCTGTGAGTTCAAGGCCAGCCTGGTCTACATAGTGAGTTCTAAGACAGCTGGGGCTACAGGGAGACCCTGTCTCAAAAAGACCAAAAAAAAAAAAATTTACATGAGAACTTTGAATTAAATGATCCAATCCTTAATTTCACGTCAATTTTCAAGAAAATCTTAATTCTTTTAATTCTAGAATCTAGAATGAAAGAAACAAGTTATTTTTGTATAAGTCAGTCTCAGTTTTGGCACTTTTGTGGCCTTCATTTTTCTCCTATTTAAATACAGCTCTCACTGTATAGCCTTGAGAGCACTATTAAAACTCATCATTGACCCATCATGGTGGCACACATCTTTGATCCCAGTGCTCGGGAGTGAGAGACAGGTCGATCTCTATGAGTTTAAGGTTCCCCTAGTCTACATAAGATTTCCAGACGAGGGCCACACACAAAATTCAATTGTCCATCAGTTTGTCCATATATAAAATGGATAAAAAAGATATACCTCCCTTACTGGTTGTTATAAGGACTAAAATAAGGAAATAACAGCATGTGGTTCTCTGTGCTAAGTAAATATTTGCTATTTCTCTAGTATCTTAATGCTTATATATAATAACATATACTCTATTATTTGCGCTGTTTTCCTCCCTTTGCCACCTCTTGGGAAATGTTTGTATTTATACTTTGGAATCTAACATGTAGCTTCTTCATTTATATTTTCTTAAAATAATTCTATCTTGAAAGCAAAAATAGAAAATTGCTAAAGTAAAAAATTGATGTTTTAATATTTAACTTTTTTCTCAGGGTAAATGACTGTATATTGAGAGTAAATGAAGCAGATGTTTGTGATGTAACACACAGCAAAGCAGTCGAAACATTGAAAGAAGCTGGATCTATTGTACGGTTGTGTGTAAAAAGACGGAAACCAGTATCAGAAAAAGTAATGGAAATAAAGCTGACTAAAGGTCCTAAAGGTATGTGATAAATAAAACTAAGATTATTAAGTAAGAAATGTATGAGTTCCATGTGATTATTTTTCTTTTTCTTTTTATGTTTTGTTTGAGATAGTTTCACTACGTGGCTAGGTCTGGCCTGGAGCTCACAAAGATCTACCTGCCTTTGCCTCCTAGAGCCTGAGATTAAAGGCCTGTGTACAGCCACGCCCAGTGAGTTCCATCTGATATTGTGTCTGTGTGTATGTGTGTATCTGTCTTTGAATACTTTGAATGCATTACAGGCACATGCCCTATGTTTGGCTTCTGACATGACTGATGGGGATCCGAGCTCAAGTCCTCGTGTTTGCACCACAAGCAATTTACCCTCTGAACCATCTCCCCAGCCCTCATGTGATTTTTATAGTCAAATGTTTCATAGCCTGTCTTTAAAAGTTTTGAAAAGTAGGAAACAGCCTCTCTACTGACTTTAATTTTTTTAATTGCTTTTATTTATTTGAGAGGGAGTGTGGTATGACACAGTATGTGTATAGAGCTCAGAGGACAATTTACAGGATTCAGTTTTCTTGCCACATGTAGATCCTGAGGATCAAACTCCAATCATTAGGCTTGTTAGCAAGTACCATCCATCTCCCTGTTCATCTGCTTAATAGGTGTATTAGTCCCTGTCTGTTTTAAGTATCATTTTGTTAAAGACTCCTAATAGTAAAAGAAACATTTTGTCCCTTTGAAATCATGTGTAGCATTCATATAACATTTTTTGTTGTTTTTTTTTTCCTCACTTTTTTTTAAATGTAACTTTTGACTATCTACAAGATACTTTAAAAGCAGAACACAGGTCACATTAAAAGATCGTATAGTGTGTGTCCTGGGCAATTAGTTACCTCTGCATTGAGGAACTGCAAGGTTTGATTTCTAAATTTTGAAAACATTGATGAGATTGAGGATAAATTGAAATAGTAATTCCAGTTCTTGGCTTTCATAGAAAATGTGAAATTCCAACAATGAAAAAGAGTGGAGAATTTCGTGTTGAAGCTGTGAAATTTAGGAGCTGCAGAAATTGTTTAAAATTGTTAATTCAAGAGACTATTGAAAAAGGACAAAAAGTATCCATGCTTGTAAAGCCTGATGTTCTACCTACCACAAAGAAAATTTTATTATTTCTTCTCAGTTATTTTATTCTTTGAAAATGTTAGTAAAAAGTACAATTTGAATGGAAACAAAAGTAAAATATGATTTTATAATGTTTCTCTATAGATTATCAAATGCATTTAAGGAAAGGCTTTAAGAAATAATCCAAGGCTGGGGATGGTGGCGCATGCCTTTGATCCCAGCACTCGGGAGGCAGAGGCAGGCAGATCTCTGTGAGTTCAAGGCCAGTCTGGTCTACAGAGTTCCAGGACAGCTGGGGCTACAGAGAGACCCAGTCTCAAAAAGATCAAAAATAAATAATAAATAAATTAATAAATAATCCAAAGAGAAAAAGGAATGTCTGTAGCTATTAAAGTGCCTATATTCATAATTGTTCCCTGTTTGGAGAATAAAAACTTAAGATTTTTAAAAATAGATAACTAAATACATTATTTTCTATGTGATGGAATGATTACCTTCTACTTTTCAAACAACACCATGTGCAACCCCCACCCTGCCCACCCCTTGCTCTAGGCTTTAATTCACCTTTATTGATGAGAATCTAAACTGGTACATTCCAAACAGGTTTTGGATTCAGCATTGCTGGAGGTGTTGGAAATCAGCATGTTCCTGGTGATAATAGCATCTATGTAACCAAAATAATTGAAGGAGGTGCAGCACACAAAGATAGCAAGCTTCAGATTGGAGATAAGCTTCTAGCTGTAAGTATAAAAAGTATGTTTTGTTTTGATTTGGTTTTGAGTTCTTTTGAGACAGGGTCTCCCTGAAGCCCCACCTTGCCTGGAACGCTATGTAGACCAGGCTCGCCTCCTTCTCACACAGTTCCGCCTACTGAGTGCTGGGATTAAAGACCTGCACCACCATGCCTGGTTTTAAGTGTGTTGTTTTTAAAGTCATTTTAATGTCTACTTTTTTTTTCCTGTCAGGAGCCTGGTAAATATCAACTACCATACCAAAGCCACTTGAATGATATCTAAATGAATGAATTCTAGCCAGCTTTTGTGATAACTGCAAAGTAATTCTAGGTAGTATCATGACCTTTTTCTCTGCTAGCCCCGTCCTTGATTCTTTCTGTCTTCTCTGACTTCTGTTTTCTCTCTCACCCCTCTGTATGTCCATTTCTCTCTTAGTTGAAGAGTTGAGTTCTTGCAAGTACACAAAATTGTTAAATCAAAATCTTTTAAATCATAATCTCTTAAGTTTATGGTACAGTGTCATCATTTGGTCATACATGGCCTTCTTTTGTTTTAACTTGTCTGTTTTAATCTAGTGAAAACCAGTGAATCATTAGTCAACACCCAAATCAGAACACTAACAGTCGTATGTATCTTATTCCTTGCTTCTTTTTCTTTTTAATATTTGTTTTTAATTTTATGTGTACGAGTGTATTGCCTGCATGTATGCGAGTGCACCCATGTCGTGCAATGCTGCGGAGGTCAAGAAGAGGCCTTTGGATTCCCCTGGAACTGGAGTTAAGGATGGTTTGTAGCTGCCATGTGGGTGCTGGGAATCGAACCCAGGTCCTCTGCAAGAGCAGTCAGTGCTCTTAGCCACTGTACAATCTCTCCAGCCTTTCTTTTGCTTCTTAAAAACTGTTTAATCATGTGCTTATGCCTAAATTTTTTAAAAACTATTATTTAGGAGCTTTTAAGTCTACGGTGCTGTATGTACTCTTTTGATACTATTAAATTTTTTTATTGGTTCAAGAATTTCATACATTTTGTTTTGATCCTATTTAGACCTCCTCTACCCTCACCTTAACCACCACCACCCCACCTCACCCCTGCCTTCATGTCCTCTACTTACCATGAAGATCTTTGAGTGGCTTTTCTCAGACCACAGAGCAAGTAAAAAACCCCATCCATCTTACAAAACACATCAGAACTAGGTGTCAGAGAAATCATTAGAATGTCAGTAATCTCTCATTGTTACACACAGATGTGCCAAGATAAGGGCTTACTCCTTTTCTTTTGTTCACGGTTTGGGGTTGGAACACATCCAGATTTCCTGCAATGGGATTTTCACACTTATTTTCTGTTTCTCTTTTAACACACTGCTTAGGATTGTCATTTAAGCACTTTTCTCTTCCTCAGCGATCATAAACACTTGGACTTCCTCATCAGAATCAGTTATTTGCTGCCCAAGTACACGGAGGTTACACTTTGGCTATTTCAGGGCTTCACACAGCACAATCACCCCACTGTGGACCAAAGCATTCTCCAACAGGTTGGGTCCCCAGTGGATTTTACTGAGGGTAAAAGCAGAAGCTAGGTATCAGCTCACAGGCCTTGTCTCAGTTTGTTCTCCATTGCTGTGACAAAACACTCTGATCAATACCAACTTGGGGAGGAAAGGGTTTATTCAGCTTAAAACTCCCAGGTCGCAGTTCATTAGGGAGCCCAAGGTAGGAACTCAGGGCAGGAACCTGAAAGCAGGAGCTGGAGCACAGGTCATGGAGGAACTCTGCTTACTGGCTTGCTCCAGGTGTGTCAAGTTGACACTAAAGCTATCCAGCACAGACCTCCAATTCAAGATTCTCTGAGTGGCAGTTGGAAAGTTTTACAGCTTCACACAGCAGCTTTACACCAGTGTCCTCTAGCTTATTTTCTGAAATCTATAGACTTCCCAGGTTCCTATTGCTGCTGAGGATTGTAGCCAGGTCTTGATGGCCACTGGTTGATGATGATGGCCTGCCTGACCGTGGGTGTGTTACACAATTGCCACTGGCAGGCCCAGTCCCCAGCAAGAGAGGTGCACCAGGGTGCTGCATGATGGAGTGGTCACAGCCACCTCCTGGCTGCGCCCACCGCCAACCCCTTCATATGAATTCGTTGGCTTGGGGCGCCTTTTGATACTTGCTAAAAATTCAATGTGGTTTTACATCTGGTTTGATATTTATTTGTGACAAGGTTTCACTATGTATCCCTAGCTGGCCTGGAAGTCACTGTGTAGACCAGGCTGACCTCAAACCCAGATCCATCTGCCTCTGCTTCTTGAGGGCTAAAATTAAAAGCATGTGCCACCCATACCCACATCTGTTTTTTTTTTTTTTTAAGGAGTTCCAGAGCTCTAAGTCAGATCTTTGGCTTGCACACTTAGCACTTGTACCCACTGAGCCATCTCCTCAGCCTTTGATTTTGTGCTTTAATTTCACGTGTACTGTGCTTTCTTTTACTTTGTCTAGAACCAGTATTTGTTGGTAGGAAGCCGGCAACCTGTGTTGAGCTACAAGCAGCAGCACTCTCATTCACTCTTGAACATGTTTTCATGAAGCCTTTATTATAATTATACCGAAATTATGCAATTCTGAAGCCTCATTTTAATGGACTTATGTGGTATTTAACATACCTTCATTCTCCCAGCTTTTATTTTGCCTAATAGTCATCCTCTAATTTGATACTTTTCTTACCTCACTAACACTGTTTCTCATTCTCCATTCCTATTTCTTTCTTACCTCTCTAGCCTCTGAATGATAGGATGATTCTTCGGAAGTCAGGCTGTGTCCATTCTCTTCTTTATTAGTGCTTACTCTCAAGGCTCTGTGATAAGTGTCAGATATCTTTGCTCAACTCTAAAAACTTTGAGATCGTCCTCTTTGACACTGCACATTGAATCCCTCAGCAAATCTTATCATTTCTTTGGTTATCTAATGCTAAATAAGAAGACACAAAATTTATTGGCAAAAACAACAGGTACATACTGCATATAGTTCTTCAAATTGAGCAAGGCTTCATAGAAATAGCCTATCTTTGTTTCACCACAGTGTCAACTAACTAGGGCTAGACAATCTATGTCCAAGTTGGTTCATATATATGGCAGGAAAATTGGTGTTGCCTGTCAGCTGAGAGTTCAACTGGGGCTTTTAAAGCCAGGTGTTTTTATTCTCCAGAGGCTAGATCGGGCTTCTCAGCATTTGGGAACCAGAGGAGGTAGGTATCTGTGAGTTCATATCACATACGTTCCTTCTATTGCCCTCAATATGCTGTCTCATTAAAAGAAGAACTAAGGGGCTGGAGAGATGGCTTAGCAGTTAAGAGCACTGACTGTTCTTGAAGAGGACCCATGTTTGGTTCCCAACACCCACGTTGCAACTAACAACCATCTGTAACTCAAGTTCCAGGGGACTGACACCCCTTTCTAACCTTTGTGGGCATTGCACGACCATGGGTGCACTTACATACATGCAGAGCAGACATTTGTATATATAGAATATTTTTTTAGTTAAAATATGCCTATACATATTATATTCCTAAATGCCTAAGATGAGAGGAAGTTGAGACTGGGAAAAGAAGCTGAAATCAAGATTGTTTATCTCATTAACGTGTATGTAATTCATTCCCTGTATTATAGACAGTAAAAATGGTCATTTTCTTTTCTATCCATTGCTATTTTCCTTTAATTGCTCACTGATATCCCCTATCATTTGAGTAATTGTTTTTGACCAAAAAGCACATGAAATGTCTTTGAATAATTATTTCTCCAGATTTTCTTTTAGGTGAACAGTGTATGTTTAGAAGTTACTCATGAAGAAGCAGTAACTGCCTTAAAGAACACATCTGATTTTGTTTATTTGAAAGTGGCAAAACCCACAAGTATGTATATAAATGATGGCTATGCACCACCTGACATCACCAACTTCAAGTTGGTTAGCTTAAATTGGCTTAAATTTATTTTCTCAAACATGGTACTGCTAATATGGTGTAATAGAAAAAGGTTAAATGTCCTAAAAATACCACTGAGTATGATAGTGTACACTTTTAAACCCAGTGCTGGAGAAGTGGAGACAGGAGAATCAGATTACATAGTGAATTTGAGGCCAATCTATGCTACATAAGACCTTGTCTCAAAAAGAATAATTTTTTTTTGTAAAGGCCAAGCATGGTGGCACATGCTTTAATCCCAGTACTTGGGAGACAGAGGCAGGCAAACTTCATGTGAGTTTGAGGCCAGCAAGGTCAATATAGACCAATCAGACCAACCAGAGCTACATAGTGAAATCCTGACTTTTAAAATGGGGACTTTTTTTTTAGCATCTTTTTTTCTTCTTCTTTTTTTTAAAGGGTTTCTGATAATGTTACATTCTGAACATACAAAGGATACAAAATGGATTTTTTTTTCCAGAATATTTCAAAGGATGGTGCCAGTCTATCATTGCCTGCAAAGCACCTTCACATACTGTTACTGTAGGTCATTTTGTCTCTTGAAGTAAGACACCATGTAGTTTTCCTGTTCACCTTCACACTGATCAGCATCTAAATGTGTAGACACATATTTGAAGTACATCTGAAATGTTTTGGTAAAATATGCAGGGAGACATGATTTGCATAGATGACCAAGTCCCTGTCCATCACCTGTTTTTAACAGCTGCTATACAAATACCAAGGCTCAAAGGATGAGAAAAATCTAACAGTTACAAATGCTGGATTCCCATGCCCAAAAGATTTCCATAAGAGCTGAATAAAAACATATAGGAAAAAAAGGGGAGGGGGTGCCTTCAAGCTGGGCGTGGTGGCACATGCCTTTAGTCCCAGCACTTAGGAGGCAGAGACAAACTCTGTGAGTTTGAGGCCTGGTCTACATAGCGAGTTCCAGGCCTGCTGGAGCTACAGAGAGACCCTGTCTCAAAAAGATGAGAGAGAGAGAGAGAGAGAGACAGAGAGAGAGAATGCTTCAGAGATAGCTCAGGATTTAAAAGCGTGTGCTTTTAAAAAAAAAAATCAGTTTAAGTCAGACTCTTCCTACTAAAACTACAGGGTTCTTTCTCCTGGCTCTCAGGCACTCTGAAAATTGTAATTACCAGGGGTGCTTTGGATTGACTACACTGAGAAATACTGACTTTAAATACTTCTAGGATATAAGGAATTTTCTATACCCATAGCTACATAATAACAGATACCATCTTTGTGCTTTAAACTCCTGGCATATTGCCTAACTGTGTTTGTATGCAATCTAATGTGCGCCATAGTATTAGACTGTTTATTAAAGTATTTATGTACTTTTAAGTTTGATCTTCAGTATTTTAAAATATATATTTAATGAGTCTGTATTGGTTGACGTATGCATGCTTTATTCTGCACTGAATTTTCAAAAAAAATTCATGAGTAATAAATGTACTCTTTTTAATCTGCTTTAAGTGTTCCTTTTTAAAAGTGATTTTTTTAAAAAATAAATAGCAGTGATTCCTATTTTTAAATGACTAAAATTCATTACCATCAGTAATCATAAGTTAAATACATATAAGATTTTGAAATTTATGTGCTGTCCTCCAATAAAACATCTTTATTATCTGCTCATTGATTTGTTACTCAAGTATAACTGAATTATTTTCATAATAGCGCCCAGCCTTTCTAGTGGTTTTTCACTTCTTTTCAACAAAGAAAACAACCTTGCTACTTCCTTGAAATTGTTGCATATCTTGGTCTGGTACATAAGTTTCATATAAGAATTTTGTATGTATTTATAATTTAAAATTTTCAATAATCTGATCAATTCAAATATATGTCTCATTGTGAATACTGCTTCTTTAGGACAGCCATAATGCACATTTGGAACAGTTTTTCTACAAATTGAGAGTTCATGCCCTAATTTTGGTCCAACATATTAGAAATTGCCAGGTTGTTTCTTGGAAATTTCATGTCAAACAGATAAATATCTAGATGAATTATCCCTTTTATGTCTAATAATACGGCATTCTTTTTAAAAATATTTTTATTATTTTACATGTATGATTGAATTGCCTACATGTGTATAAGCGCACCCATGTTATGCAGTGCCTGCAGAGGTCAGAAGAGGGCATTGGATCCCCAGAAATGGAGTTAAGGATGGTTGTTAGCTGCCATGTGGGTACTGGGAACTGAACCCAGGTCCTGTAAGAACAGCCAGTGCTCTTAACCACTGAGCCATCTCTCTAGCCCCCATAATATGGCCTTTTTATTTAATTTTTTAAATTATTTTTTATGTGTATGCATGTATTGCCTGCATGTAGGTAAGTGCACCCATGTCATGCAGTGCCCGTGGAGAACAGAAAAGACTGTCAGATTCCCTGGAACTGGAATTACAGACAGTTGTTAACTGTCATGTGGGTGGTGGGGTGTGAACCCAGGTCTTCTGCAAGAACGGTCAGTGTTCTTAACTGCTGAGCCATCTCTCCAGCCCCAGTATATGGCCTTTTTAAAATGGAACAGTTAGTTCTAAAGAATAGTAAATGATAATTGGTTGTTTGCTCTGTTTTTGTTAACTCTGGTTTTGTTCTTGTTTCCCATCTGTCATTGAATTAATAGAACATCGTGAGAGAGTTGGCGCTTACCTTGCTAGCTCAACTTATAATTTTACTACCATTCCCTATCTCAAGCATCTGCATTCATAAATTTTGGATATACTTTTAAAACTACATTTATTCTATACGTGCAGAGCATAAATAATTTATTTTGTGGGTTTCAAAAAGCATTTTAATTTTTTTTTACATAAGTGGTTTTTGTCTCTTGTCTTCCTAAGTCCTTGTCAGACCTTGAATTCAGTTTCCTTATATTTTAATCATCTGTGTCTTCCTCATGGATCTAACTTTAGTCCCTGAATACTAAATTATCTTTCTTGCTACTTTTACTTACATTGCCATTCTGAGTGATACTCAAAAGCTATGCTAATGGTTCATGTAAAACCTTGGCTTTTGGTGTCTTGATCTCTTTATCTTCTGCCCATCTGCTTAGGTTCCTGCTTCTAATACTTTAGATCTTTTCTACAGTTATCAACACCTTCTTTGTCTTTAACATACCAATTTTAAATAATCCTATTACAAACATTTCATTCACCACTATTCTGGCCATTCTGCTTCACTTTGACCTTCATTTATTTGGTTTTATCATTTTTCCCAATGTCTCTGTTTTCCTAATTGTCTATATGGCTTAGGCTGCATGTTTGTCAGAGAAACTCATTGCATTGCACTTCTAGTTCTTTGGCCTTCTTCCCTGTTGGGAGCTACTATTATTATCGGCGCAGCCATTGCTGCATTAGGCTGTGGCAGCTTGCCTTGACTTAAGCATTGAAGAAAGAAGGCTTCCACCATGGGAGTGTCCCTGCTCTCTGCTTCTGTGGTCTGAGTTGACAGGCTATGCTTCCCTGATTAATTGGCAGTCTTGGAAACATAGCTAAAGAGTTCTGTTTCAGTTTATGGGCACCGGAGTTTCTCAGCACTGTCAGCTTGGTTTCTATATAGAAATAATAGATTTTAGTAGTTGTTAAGAGTAATCACAAACAGTACACTTTATATCTAAGATATTATAAATATTATGTAGCTGAATCTTGGATACTGTAAATGTTGTGTGACTTTCGGTTGGTGAAGTAATGTATTCTTGGTTCTAACATAATGTATCCTTGGTTATTCCTTGGTTACTTTCTGTTGGTAAAGTAATGTATCCTTGGTTATTCCTTGGTTACTTTCTGTTGGTAAAGTAATGTATCCTTGGTTATTCCTTGGTTACTTTCTGTTGGTAAAGTAATGTATCCTTGGTTATTCCTTGGTTACTTTCTGTTGGTAAAGTAATGTATCCTTGGTTATTCCTTGGTTACTTTCTGTTGGTAAAGTAATGTATCCTTGGTTATTCCTTGGTTACTTTCTGTTGGTAAAGTAATGTATCCTTGGTTATTCCTTGGTTACTTTCTGTTTAGTGATGTATCCTTAGTTATTCCTTGGTTACTCCAGATCTGATTCCTGTATAAGCTTGGTTTGGTTCACAATAAATATTCACTGGCACATAGACCTCTGTATCTCCTGTGTCTTGATTTCTATCCGTCGGGTTCCCCAAGCCCTTCAGGCTTGGACTGTGGTCACTGCACCGTGACAGCTAGCGCCTGAATAGGGACCCCCGACATTGCATCCGGAGGAGGTTTTGAGGATAGAGTAGCAATTCATGTAAGTATAATGGACAGGGTAAGTATACTCCTTTTGTTTCTTTAATTCATTATATTCTTCGTAGTAATGGAACACAGGTTTCTAGAAGGCAGATAGATAATTGTGTGCAGATAGTTGTAGAGTTTAATTCGTGGTTTCCTGATACAGGAACTTTAGATTTAGAAGTCAGGGACAAAGTTAGAACAAATGTGGAAAAAGCATTTCAGACCGGAGAAACTATACTTCTTGATTTTTGGTCTGTGTGGGCACTCATCCAAACAGCTATTATATTAATTAATCTAGGCACAAATAGCTTGTTGCCAACTCAGGTTTTTTGTACTTCTAATGAAGCAAGTTAATCTTTATGATGTTCCTGAGGAGTCATTTGGAGCCTTCTTTAGATATTCCTGCAAGGAAGGAGTCTTTACTTCCTCCTTGTCCGGCTCCAAGTCTTCAGAGTTCGGATGAAACAGAGGATTCTGATGAGGATTTAGTTATGGCTCAATACATTAGAAGGAAATTACAGAGACTGATTATGACTAAGCCTAAAGTAAAAATGAAACCTAAACGAAGGTCAAGAATAACAATGGCTTTTGCAAAAATTGTTGGCACAAACTTCTGACTCTAAATCTGTCTGAAATTGTTAGGTCAGAGGCTGCGTTTCCAGTTATTCGACATCCTCTTGTCAATGGAATTGCAGTTTCTGTAAGTTATTTATTCAGAGTCAGATTTGGATTTGTTTCCTTAAACTTCTGAGTCTGCAGTGTAATCACCTACCTATAAAAGTATAGATATAGATCACCTTACTAAAATTCAAAAGATAGCAACATTATATGGTCCATAGTCACTTTATGTGAAAGAAATTTTTGTAGGTTTGGTTAATCATTATAGAAATCTAGCTTCAGAGGATTAAAAATTCTAAGTAGATCATTGACAAAACCATCAAAAT